ATATTCAAGTGAAGTTACATTACTGACAAAAAGTGAAATATGACTTCATACAATGTGCTTTGAATGCCCAACCTGTCCTCTTAAAAATGCCGCTTTTGGTCGTTTCCCCGTATGGCCGAATTTGGACGTAATTTGAAAGTGAAAAAAAATTTAAATAAATTTGGGATTTTTTTTTCACCAACAGCAAGTTAAGGGTCCTCTGATAGGTTAGGTGGGCAGGAATTTCTCATAAAGTTTCAAAACGTTATAAAAACTTATATTGAAAGTTTCTTCTTTTAACCCTACCAAGTAAGCCGGACGACTCAAACAGAAAACGGAACAGTACGTCACTTTTGTGAGTCGATTTCATTTCAAATTACGTCCAAATTTGGCCATAGCGCGCATGCGAGCCAAAAGTGACGTTATTTTTAAGAGGACGGGTTGGAATGCCAACCGTCACCCCGTTCGTGGGAATGTCAAGGTAAGGGCAGACACTGGCGAGCCAGAAGCACCAGATGGTTTCTGCCTGCCTAAGTCGCCGGGCTGGATATATATACAGTGGTACCTCAGCTTACACGAATTTAATCCGTTCCCAGAGACGGCTCATAAGTTGAATATTCCTAAACTGAAGCGATTTTCTCCATAAGAAATAATGTAAATTGAATTAATCCGTTCCAGACTCCCCAAAAAATTAACTTCAAAGTAAATTTTATACCTAATTCACCCAAATCTTCAGTACTAAAGTATGTACAAGTTATTACTTACCTTTACTGATGACTTGTTGGTGTATGGAAGATGGTGGGGAGGAGGAGACGTGTTAATGTTTGGAAGGGGAGTCCCTTTCCAAATCTTTAAATTCTTCAATAAATCTTTCAGTTGCTGGTTTGTCTGTGCTGGCAGCCTCCCCATGCCTCACAACACTATGAATACCACTTGTTTTTCTTAATTTCTGTAACCATCCCCTAATTGCCTTAAACTCTCTCATATCTGCATCACTCCAGGGGTTTTCTCTAAAAGGTCTTTGTGCAATTGCCTTGCTTTCTCACAAATGATGGCCTCTGAACTGCTATCACCTGCTAACTCCTTGTTAGCTCTTGTTAGCTAACTCCCCAAGTGTTTGTGTTTTATGTTTCGTGATTATTGTTATGCCTTTTGCCACTTTAGCACTCGTAATGTCCTTTTTCTTAGCAAGTACAGTGCATATCGTTGATGTAGATTTGTTGTACTGCCTAGCTAGTTCAACAACCCATGTACCATTTTCATGTTTACGAATGATCTCTTGTTTTTCCTCTATGGCCATTCTCACATGTGTTTTCTTGGCTTGAACTGTACCACTGACTTTCTTGGGACCCATGGTGAGATATATAATAACAACTTTTATGTTCAAATACCCAAAAATTGGAAAAAACAGGTCATGCGCGATTGTCACTAGGCAGGAGGCACTGGTAAACTGAGGTGCGATCGCTGTGCCACTACACGCTAGGTCGGCCATACGCGTATCAACAAACTTCGTTTCCCTAAGCAAAGCTCATAACCCGATTTGGATTTTTATGAAGAAATTGGGCTCGTGACCTGAAAAGTTTGTAAATAGGGGCCAACTGGACCAGCGAAGAGACTCCGCCGGAAAGATTTACTGTTCCATGTGCTTATCGGCAACTAACAATGAAGATTTACACCCCTCCCAGGCGCAGGTGTTACAAGTGCCAACGGTGGAATCATGTTGCAAGGAACTGTTGGAATGATGAGCGGTGTGGCCACTGTGCCGGAAAGCATGCAACGTCTGTGTGTGATGCTAAAAAGGGTGGTGCACTAAAACTGAGGTGTGCAAACTGTCACGTGGAGGGAGTTCCCGCCTGGCATGGGGACTGTGCCTCACTCCCGCCGAGACGGGCTGCCAGGGGTACAACAGCTGGGGGCGCCAGTAACCACCCTGGCTCATCTGCTGTGCCCCCACTGGTCACTCCGTCACACTCCCCTTCCTTACCCAACCACTCCAACGCCACGGCTAGTAGCTCGAGTGACACAGTTGTAGGCCCTACCAATTCATGTTGGTCGGGGGGCCTGGATCAGGCACAGAAAATTAGTGAGCTTATGCATACAGTAGAAAAACAAAACAAAATTGTGGAAAACCTGACCAAGCAGATAACCGAACAAAATAAGGAAATCATGCACCAAAAGACGATGATAACCACTCTTCAGGAAACTGTGAGAGTATTAATAACTGAAGGCAGGCCACACCAACCTGGGGTACCACCATGTGCTCCCATGCGGCCAGTACCCCAGGGGAGACCCCAGCAGGGGGTGTCCCAGCCCTCACACCAGCTGGGCTCTCCCACCACGGCTCCCCACACCCCAGCCTCATCAACGCAGTGCGCTATGAACAGAGGTAAACTATTCCACGTAGAAACGCATAGTGCTGTCGATGAGTATTATGGCGCAACTGATCCTGATGATGAACGTAGTGACACTGAGGGTGAGAACTTTAATGGTGATGACGATCAAGATGTTGATACCGGGTCTAATAAACTCTGTTTGAAGGAATACAGTAGTGGAAATGTTGAAAGTGATTGTGGTAAAGAACAAAGTGAAACCAGTGACGCTTGTAGTGATAGTGACGAAGTTCAACTGGACGTGGATGCCCGCCTCGGGCCGCGCACGCCACATCCCAGATGGTTCTGCCGTGACACATTTAAAGAAATGGTGACAGGTGATGTGCTGACTGAAGAGGAAAAAGAAGCTGTAATAAAGCACTACAAACGGTATGTAGACATACTTGCTTTTATGAAACTGCAGACTGATAAAGTACAAAAGAACAATGGCGGCCTCTGAATCTCATAAAAACAAGTACAGTGTCATACCCACATTTTGCTTCCAGTAGATGAACGACATATGAGATTTAGAAACAAGTAGTGTATTGTGAGGACTAATAATAAACAGAAGCTCCCCTATGACTCTGTAATATCCCCATTGGCCAAACTATTATGTATTAACGACAAGACCTACCATTAACACTTTCGCGCTCTCGGCGCTCAAGAAAAAAACAATACCCCAGATGCTTTCGGCACTTCGCGCGCCTACGAGGTAAGACCAAAAAGTGTACACTCTTTTGACTGTCCTGACAATAATTGAAGGCGCACATATTTAAATTTGGTATCACTGTGTTCGCAATGAAATTGTCTATAAGAGCATACCTATAAAATGCCGCCCAAGCATAAGGAGTATCAACACCAAATAAAAAACTATGCAGATCACTCGCCGAGAGCGCCAAACAGCAACAAAATGTTTCCACTCTCTTAATGGTTGCGAAGCCTACAGTTGTCCTACATCGCTAATTTTGGTATCATTGGAATCGCAATAAAATTCTCTACACGGACATATGCATATGAATGTTTAATATAGGTAATTGCCCACCCGCAAGAGTGTGTGAAGTGGAGAGTAGTTAGCCGCGAGCGCACTGGCGAAAACACAGGGGGGAAATCATGCTTGGAAAGTTTATACGTTTCCTGACCCTACTTTTCTATGTACGTATTTCTTTTTTATACCAATGTGTTCGCAATAAAATTTTCTATAAGATGAACTGTATAACATTTGTACAAAGCATGTGTAAGAGAAGCGCCAAATATAGAACCACGTCGCTCAGTATGCGTTCGCAGCAGAAACGAACGCATTGTTTTCGTTCGTTTGATGTTTGTCATGTTTATACTTGTTGAAACATTTTATAATTTGTATGACAGTGATCGCAGTAAAATTCCCTACACAGACATATACATAACACATACAAATATTTCCCACGTGTTGGATATATCAACGGCTAAAGGGAACCCACTGCCACACGCTCGCCACACCCCCAAACATACTTTGTGTATTTTTTTTTTTACTCATAGAAGTTTATGTGATATAATATTCATTCTGGTACCAAAACATCCGCAAATAAATTCTCTACAAAACAAAAGTATCCCCATCCATTTCGGTTAAAAAATGGAATTTATAGAAATATTTTTTCGATGGACGAGAAAAGTAGGCTGTTATGCGGAATCATAAGAGAAAACGGCGACGAGTTATCTCTAATCTAAAGCGCGAAAGTGTTAATGTATGATGACTTACTGTAAATATGTAGCTCTTGTAATAGCACTTTCTCTGTAACTAGCTGACATTGTATCTATAAGGTGTGAAGGATTGAAGAAATTGTTTATGTAATAATCTAAGATGAGGTCTGATAAAGACCTTTTGTGCCCTCTGTAATGCTTTTGCGCTACCGCTCACAGGATGAGTATGGGGTGCACAATAAACTAGCCGCCTTCGGCGGCAACAATCAAATCAAGGTATCTTGTATTTTTATCTGACTTCAGTGCCCTTGTGTGACCATGGGTTGGATTTCACAGCACTTAACTTCAGGGAGCCACTAGGCACTCCTACCCCCCCCCCCTTCATAAAACTAGCTAGTTGCATAAATTTTTTTTAATCATTTGTTTACATTGTTCAGGGAGTTCTGTTGCCGTTCTTGAGGCTGAGGGCTCGTTTGAGCCAGTATTGGATTGTTCTGTCTTGCTTACACTCTGGATTCCTTTCTCAGTGGTGGCATAAATGCCTAAGTTAATATATAAAGGCCACTGCTCCCTGTGTATGAGGCGGCCCTGGTTCTGGCTCTTCGTCCTTGGTAGGACACAGAACTGCAACTGATAGGACCTAGTAGTTTGGCACTACATTTGAGATACACGTAATAGCTTCAGAGAGTTAGTGGGGCTCGCCCAGAATTTGGCATTTCGTTTCATTCAATTCAGGTTTTATATGTGTCTTACTTTATTTTTATAGTTCCCTTTCTTATAGTAGTTGATTTTTATACATTTAAATTAATATCTCTCAGTCATGTGACAAAACACTTCCTATTATGAAACATTTTCATATATTGACGGAAACTTGCACTATAATCTAACAAATTTCTGCTTCTTTCAAATAGTATAGTTGATCTTTTTCAGCATGCTGTATAGACTAACACTGTTTTTTTTTTTATATATATACAGCTAATGCACAGTATAGCACTACAGTTCAACAACCACCCAAATCTGCTGCACAGCCGCCTGGAAAGATGGTTCAACAGGCCCCTGCCACGGGAGAAACTAAGGCAGAAACTAAAAAATATGCTTTTCTGCTGGACAAAGGTTCATCCAACACTGCTAAGAAACCTGGACCGCAGTTCCGCAAAGTGATGCCAAATATTATTGGTATGTGAAGTGTTTTTTCCTAGTAATTTATAATCATTAGTTAACCCTTATTATATGTATATAATTATGTTCTATTTATTATAAATATTTAAATCAGTTGTATGGTATTAAGATTGATATTTCACATTAAAACTCCATAAAATTTTAATGAACCACAAAAGTCTATTTGGATGTAATCTACAACATGATGCCTCTAACATTTCAAACTAATATTGAGCTTGGCACAGCATCCTTCCAGGGCAGTATTCTAGTGCGAATCACCATATCTAGTGTACCACCATCAAGCTTCAGTCTTCCACATGAACAGCTGTGTTGGCATTTCCTGAATTGCACAAGATATACAATTCTTTGTGCACATTATAGAGTTTCTCAGTGATAAAGATGAATGTACAGTATATAAAGCGGGTCGGGTGGCCCGCCTGCTTTTGTTGGGTGTTCGGGTTCTGGCCTACCTGTATTCCTACCCGAGCCTAAATCTGTATTCTCTTGAGCGCAGGCGGGAGAGATACACAATAATTTATACATGGAAAAATATTAGAGGGGCTGGTCCCAAATCTGCACACAGAAAAATAACATCACATGAGACCAGGAGGCATGGCAGGATGTGCAGAATACCCCTGTTGAAAAGTAGAGGTGCAACAGGTACTCTAAGAGAGAACTATCAACATCAGTCCCGAGACTGTTCAACATGCTTCCACTACACTTAAGGGGCATAACTGGCCGACCCCTCACAGTGTTCAATAGAGAACTGGATAAACACCTCCAAAGGATATCTGGTCAATCAGGCTGTGATTCATACGTCAGGCTGCGAGCAGCCGCGTCAAACAGCCTGGTTGACCAGTCCAGCAACGAGGAGGCCTGGTCAATGACCGGACCGCCGGGACACTAAGCCCAGGAAACACGTCAAGGTAACTTCAAGGTAGGCACCTCGACGACTGACTTGTTTGGGCTCCCAGCCAGTCTACGTGTCTGCTCGCCAGGGATTTGGTTCTTACCCAGCTCGCCCGGTTCGGGTTCCTGATGAACTGGCAAAAGTTCGTATCTGGTTCCCCCTCAGGTTCGGTCTTGGCTGGGTCTTGTGTGGGATGCATGGACTGCTTCTTTGTCTCTTCCTCCTGCAGCTTTGCTTCACCTGCGTTCCTGCCTTCATCTGTTCCTGAGGGAATCTCGGGTCACGCAGCGTTTGCTTGAGGGCTTGTGCGGGAGCCTGAACTTTGCTATGATGGTCTACATTGCAGGCCAGGTGTGGCTTCATCGGCTGTTCTGGTTCCTTCGGGGACGTCCCTTCCGCCTCTCTCGCAACCGCTGGGTTCGACCTCTTGGGGCTTTCCGTCTGTTGCTGTGTCGCCGATTTCCTCTTTGGGTTTTTTGAGGTTCAGTGCCCCGGCGCCTACCCGAGCCCTCGCTCAATGAGTTCACGGACGCATCGTCTCTTGGCTGAGGCTTTGTGACCAGTGCTCACCAGGCCGGCCAGGAACGGTGGGGTCCGTCCTGCCGTCAGGCTCACAGCACGGCATGGGAGTTTGTGGCTGTGTGGATGTCTCTCCGGAGGATTCAGGTTGCTTGCAGATCAACGATCCGGCACCATTCGGACCGTTCTATGGTTGTTCATTGCCTGAACCCAGGGAGTTCCATGCAGTCCTTAGCTCTTTGGGGCTGGTCGATTCGGATGATTCGTCTGCTGAGTTCTCGGGTTTTGGCTCTCCTGGTGGTTTACGTTTGGGGGGTTGTCCAGTGTCCTGGCAGATGACCTGTCCCACTTCACTCCCATGTCCACGGAATGGACGGTCGACGCCAACTTGTTCAGTTGGCTCTGCTAGACGTTGGGGCCTCCGGAAGTGAATCTCTTTGCGTCAGCGTGGTCGGTTTGTCTTCTGGTATACGTTTTGCCCTTTCCTGACAGCGAGGCTGTTGGGGTCGATGCCTTCAGGCAGGACTGGGCGTGATGGGGTTACCTGTACCTTTTCTCCCCAGTTCAGATGTTGCTCAAAATCCGGGCTAGCTTGGAGACTTACCAGGGGAAAGCTGTCCTGGTTCCTTGGTGCCCGGCCCAGCCTTGGTTTCAGGCGCTGCTTCCTTGGTGTCCAAACCCGAGGGTCTTCCTGCGGCTCCACCTCTTTCAGCAGATCGGTCCAGCCTGGTGCGAGGCTTGTTCGTTCTTCTCCTCGAGTCTTCACATCAGGAGTTTCTGATTCGAGTCTATCATCAATTGTATGGTGAGCAGGTGGCTTTGTTGTTGGTCTCCCACCTACGTGCTTCGTCTCTGCAGCAGTATGAAGTTTCTTGGCGGTCCTTCCAGGTTTTCCTATCACTGCATAGGTGTACTTCGGTCTCTGATAGGGTTACCTTGTCTTTCCTTTTGTGGTTGTTCCAGGACCGTCATCTTATGCCGAATACTGTTGCCTCGTATCGTGTGGCGCTGGCGGAACCGCTCCAGCTTGTGTTCGGTATTGATGTTACTTCTGCCCTGTTTCGCAAGCTGTCTCGTACGTTGTTTCACCTCCGACCTGCTCATGTGCTGCTTGAGCATGCCTCTCTTTTCTCTCTTCTCCTTCTCCTCCTCTTCTCCATGGACCTCCTCCATTGTCTGGCACCCCGGTGAAGAAAATGATCTAGATTTATCTTGAAGATGTACTGGGCAGTACTCAAGATGGAACAGCACAAGAGATTTGAAGAGTACAATCATTGTGATGGGATCCCTGGATTTCAAAGTTCTCATATTCCATCCTATCATTTTTCTGGCTGACTCAATATTTGCTTAGTTATGCTCCCTAAACGTTAGGTCGTCAGACATCATTATTCCCAAATCCTTTACCTGCTGAGGTAACATATCCTTTGCATGTAACCCTGAGGTAATGAGCTTCTAACTGCACTTGGACTTGATTTTATATGGTTGACTGTTACTCTGTGTTCTGTTCGGCAGGAAACCGAGTATCCAGCGTCCTACTTTACCGGTTATTCCCATTGACCTCATTTTGTGTGCTATTACTTCATGGCCACATTTATTGAATGCCTTTGCGAAGTCCGTGTATACCACATCTTCATTTTGATTTTCTTCTAATGCCTCGGTGACTGTGTCGTAGTGGTCAAGTAGCTGCGAGAGGCACAACATGGATTTCCCGCTCGAAGTCCATGTTGGCCTGGGTTGTGAAGGTCATTGGTTTCCATGAAACTAGTGACCCAACTCCTAATCACTCTCTCAAATACTTTTATTATGTGGGATGTTAGTGCAACTGGTCTGTAATTTTTTGCCAATGCTTTGCTCCCTCGGTCAAATGCTAGAGAGGACGCAAACACAGTGGCCTGCTTACCAGAGCCTCAGATATTAACACCAAGTAAAGCATCCAGCACTTCCACTAACACGATAACATCATTTATATTTGCCAACATCCAGGGTATAAAAACACGCAAATCCAACAAAGTTCACTTTATAGATGGTCTCCTTCATGAGGCAAATGCAGTGTTTGCAGCCCTAACGGAAACTCACACAAAGGACTACCTTGATGGTGAAATATGGATCTCAGAGTACAATCTTTTCAGATGTGATAGGAAACATTGGCTTCAGGGTGGGGTCAGCCTCTACATCAAAGACACACTCATCTGTACTGAGCTGCTAAACACCTCAAATGATATGGTGGAAGTGCTGATAGTCAAAATAGAGATCCTAAATGTAGTTGTTGTCCTTGTATATAAGTCACCGGAGGCAAACCCTCAGCAGTTTAAAGACCAACTAATGAAAATAGAAGACTGCTTGGAAAACCTCACAAATCCAGCTCCGAACATCATCCTGCTTGGGGACTTCAACCTACGGCACCTGAAATGGAAGCACCTGGTTAATACAGTAATATCAGAAAGAATACCAGGAAGTAGCCTAAATGAACAGGCACATGCAAATGACCTGCTACGGATGTGCGATAGGTTTGCCTTAAACCAGCAAATAGTAGAACCAAATAGGAAGGAGAACACGCTGGACCTCATTTTCACTAATAATGACGAATTGATCGGGAACATAATGATTACAAATACCTGTTACTCAGATCACAACTTAATTGAAGTTCTGACAACCATGGGGAATGAACCTTCAAAACCAGTCCAGATTCCCGGTGGAGGAGATTTCAGCAAATTCAACTTCAATAATAAACAGATAAACTGGGAGCAAATAAACCAGGACTTCACAGAAATAAACTGGGAAGAACAGCTAGAAAATGCAAACCTGAACCAGTGCCTAGAAAAAAAAAAGCTCAGTAGCACTAGAAATATGTTCATACCGCATACCCCTAAGAAAAAAGAGAGAGAGATGCAGATTGGAATGGGAACGTCGTTCCCTATATAGGCGAAGAAAATGCTAAGTTCTTTTCCTTTAAAGAACACAATAAAGTAGCTGTCACAACTGCAAGAAAAATGACAGGTTGGATAACAAGAACTTTTCCCACTAGAGATGCTATACCGATGATGATACTTTTCAAAACGCTTGTGCTCTCTCGAGTGGAGTACTGCTGCACAATAACAGCCCCTTTCAAAGCTGGAGAATTTGCTGACCTGGAGAGCGTGCAGAGATCCTTTACTGCTAGAATCCACTCAGTAAAACATCTAAATTACTGGGACCGACTAAAGAGCCTAAATCTGTACTCCCTTGAGCGCAGGCGGGAGAGTTACATAATAATTTACACGTGGAAAATAATTGAGGGGCTGGTTCCAAACCTGCACACAGAAATAACATCACATGAGACCAGAAGACATGGCAGGATGTGCAGAATACCCCCGTTGAAAAGCAGAGGTGCAACAGGTACTCTGAGAGAGAACTATCAACATCAGAGGCCCGAGACTGTTCAACACCCTTCCACTACACATAAGGGGCATAACTGGCCGACCCCTCACAGTGTTCAAGAGAGAACTGGATAAGCACCTCCAAAGGATACCTGATCAACCAGGCTGTGACTCATACGTCAGGCTGCGAGCAGCCTCGTCTAACAGCCTGGTTGATCAGTCCAGCAACCAGG